CCAACAAATATTCTTTAAAATCAAAGTTCGATGCAGTATTGTCAAATATTTCAGTAACGTTACTATTAGTTTCACATTTAGCAGTATGTATATCATCTTGCAGTTGTTCAACTCCGGCAGGTAGTACAAGAGGAACTTGTACATTATCATTAACTTGGGTTACAGTATCGAAAACTTCTGTCAAATTATCAGAACTTACAACACAATTAAGAGTGTGACGTTTATAACCGCAGTAGGTATAGAACTTTAATTTGCACTTAGTGCAAATCAGTTCAAAATTTGTTAAATTTTCATAGAGACAGTGTTGTTTTCTTAAATGCTTTGACAATAATTGAAAAGATTCAAAATTACTGGCACATTTAAAACAAACCAGCATTGTACTGGAATAAGTAAATCAAAAATCAAATAAACTAGCATTTGCTTATAAGGCGAGATTTATTATTGCGCTAATAGTTTTGATCGCAATTCTCTAATATTGGGCGTGATTTTAATATCGTCTATACCGTAAAAAAACACTTGAATGAATTTATAGAAAATTTCTAGTGTAGGGTCATAAGTTAAATTAAAAACGAAAAACGATTTAAAAAGGAGGTCAAAAGCTTGCCCAGAATTAGTAATGCTTTCCACCGCAAGTACCTTATTATCTACCGATATAGTGTAGTAATCTACCGCTTTCTCTGAAGATCCAGAAGCGATTAAAAAAGGTTGATTAGTTTTTTTGGCAGTAATTATTTCCTCGAGTGATTCACTGTTCTAAAAATTAATAATGTAAGCGTAACAAAGAAAAGGGTTGCTTAGTTCTTTACCTTTTTAAATACAATAAGCCTTTTACTAATTTCTGGCAGTGATTCCCTGTTCACCGCCTTTTTGCGTCCCTTGGATGTAGCTGGCAACAACTTGATCAACATAAACAAAGTTTTAGTTGTGACGTCAAATTGATTTAGGTATTCATTGTCGGAGTTTATCTCATTGCAATAAATATTTTTAACTTTTTCCGATATATTCAAAATTTGCAACTCCAGATTAATGCAGTCATTGTTGGGATACAGCAATCCAAAATCCAAAGATATCTAAAAAATTAATCGAGAATTATTTCAGATACAAAGGGTGTTAGTACAGTGGGCATTTATCAAACATATTGATATATAATACTAACCAGTCCAGGAGTGTCTAAAAACCTAGGAAATTCTTGAAAGATGTTAGTCTCGTTGCAAAGTTTTCGTCTAGCCAAAAATGTCGCTTTGAACTTCTCTATTAGGTCCGGATCTTTAGGATGGGTGTGTTTTAAATAGTCAATGTCCTCTTGGAAATTATCAAGGTTTATCTCTTCAACATTCAGTTTTGGTTTTTTCTGTGGTATTTCTGGCCTGTTTTCTTTTGAAGATCTTCTGACAGTTCTCAAACGCCAATCTATGTACCCAGATCGCTCGTCGGGGTTATAAAATGCTTCCTATAAGAAAATTGGAAGTTATTTATATTTTTTACAATAAGTAATTTAGATAGCAATAGCATGCAAAAAGCAAAATCATAGATTTCAACTGACATAGCCATATTTGCTGCATGGATCTCTCAAATTCGGGAAGAGGTCGATAATAGCTTTAGCATACATAGTCTTTATATATTTTAAAGGTTGTTGGCCGTATTTTTCTATAATATCTAACACAATCACGTTCACTAACAATCTTCGGTTTCCTCTTGTTAAAAGTTTCTTTGTTTCATATTCTGTGATAATCTGTGTAGCTCCTACGCGAATTAATAAGTTTTGCAAGGCCTGAAATGAATAATGTTAAATAACAAAATAGCTCGCAAAATAGTATTTACAGGGTGGTGTTTTTAAGTGGACCATTAGAAGTATCTCAGGAACGGTTTGGAATTTCGATTCGACCCATTATCTTTTTTGAATAATCGATCAAAAGGAATCATTTTAAAATATTTTCAAGATGGCCGGTTTTCGGGTTGTACCCGAACGATACCGGAACTTTCTTATTTCAATTGGCACTATCTCATAATTCCTCATAAAAAATCAGAATGACTTTGTCAATATGATGGTATGTCTAACTGGCATGGTTTTGAAGTTATTTGATATTTTTTCAGTGTTTCAGAGGTTCCGTAAATTAGCCATATCACTGTTGTCTGACAACTTAGCAAAATGCTTTTATCACCAATCGACAGCTAAAAGTTCAGGCTATCAAATGTTATTGGTCGGATTTTCAAATGCGAATCGAAAATAATGCGAACAAGAGTTCAAAGTAGACAATCGGTTTATCGTCAAAAACTCGATATTTTCAAATGGAAACTTTATTATGCATCAATGGAAAGACCATAAAAAAGCGGACAAAAAATGTATTTGCAAAATTTTTCTAAAGTGGTCAGTTTTCAATTTATTCGTCAAAAATAAAAAATTTTCAAATAGCAAAATCAGAACTTCATTCTATCCACCTCATAAATCTAGATGTCATCAATAAAATCACTCAAAACAGTTGAACATTTGAGTGTCATAAAGACGTCATAATTACTCATTTTATGAAAATTCAACAAAACAGTACACGAATCAAAATGAAACAACTGAATCGGTGACGTCTATACATTTTTTGTCTGTTTTTTTAATGGTCTTTCCATTGCTGCATAATAAAGATATGGTTTCCATTTGACTATTTCTCTCGTCTTACTTTCGACCAATCACAAACGCGCAATTTTGAATTGCACATGGTTTCTAGATGGAAAAACCGAATGACAGCACCTGTCAGTAGTTTTTTCGAGATTACCCGCGGCAAAACTTGACAGCTGTTGTCACCAAAAATTACATTACCTTTGACATTACTGATGAAATAGTCTTGTCAAATACCATTCGGGCATCAAATTTTTGCTGTGTAAAAAATTGAAAAAACACAATGCAAAGTAATATTTTGTTAACAAAATGCATTCGTGCAGCTGCAAAAATCCTCGTCTTCGACTCGGATTTTTGTTGCCACCAGCATGCTTCTTGTTAAAATATTACTTAGCAGCGTGTTTTTTCGATTTTTTCGGAAAAATTAGATGCCCTTATGCTATTACTACTGAAAATATCGAGTTTTTGACGATAAACCGATTGTCTATTTGAACTCTTATTCATATTATTTTCGATTCGCACTTGAAAATCCGACCAATAACATTTGATAGCCTGAACTTTTAGCTGGCGATTGGTGATAATAAAAGCTATTTCCTAAGTTGTCAGACAACAGTGATATGGCTAATTTACTGAACCTCTGAAACAGTGAAAAAATGTCAAATAACTTCAAAACCATGCCAGTTAGACATACCATCATACTGACAAAGTCATGATTTTTTATAAGAAATTTGAAAATGCCATCAGAAAAGATAGTGCCGTTTGAAATAAGAAAGTTCGGTATCGTTCGGGTACAACTGGAAAAGCGGCCATCTTGAAAATATTTTTAAATGATTCCTTTTAATCAATTATTCAAAAAAGATAATGGGTTCAATCGAAATTCCAAACCGTTCCTGAGATACTTCTAATGGTCCACTTAAAAACACCACCCTGTATAGTATTTGGAGATTTCCATGCAGCTTGACCATTAGATATCAACAAGAAGAAATATTTTTTTACGCAACTATTGGGTATAATTTACACTTTTTAAGGTTTCTATTGTAGGTAGGTAACTACCAATAAAAAATATTGCACCAAATGGAAAAAAAAGGGAAGTTATTGAACAAATTATGCATTAGGATATCTTGGACATTTGTGCATGAATAAAGTCGTTAGAAGCACTATTTTTTCAGTTACCTCTTTATCAAAACTACTTGGTACCGAGGTTGGTACAATAAATCCTTGCAAATCGTTGATAGTAACTATATCTTCACTACTCAAAGTTATTGTAGTCGACTCTGAAATCGTCGAGCTGGAACTGGAAATACTTGGAGCAGAGGGATTGGCATCAGCACCAGTATTTATTCGAGTATTTACAATGCGAAATATAAAACCCTTTTCTACTCCTTTTAAGAAATCGACAAAATCATCGTTTTCAATCTGGCATCCAGATGTGTCACACAGTATCACATCATTCGGATCCACATCATTGATATTGAACTTTTGCATAGCTAAAATGGAGTGAAGATGTGTAAGTTTGATGTGCCAGTACTTTTTAAGATAACTACGTACTTCGTAGCACCATTGAGTAAAGGATTTAGTTACTCAATGGTACCACTAATCGAAGCGCGCTAAAGATAACTTTGCGAGGGCGGACAGGTGCAGGTGGAACTGAATTCTCCTTTGTAATTACTTTTAAGATAAAGGTCTGTATAGGTAGTAACCCAGTCGACTGTACCTTTATGTTCAACTTCCCTAGACCCTATCCACCCTTACATACCTATCCCTATCTTGACTCATGAGTTTCATTGGAAAATACCCAATTTTACAAAAGTAACGCTTAAACGTGTAAAAAGTAAATCCGAGCTAAAAATGAAACAATAACCTACTATCAATACCTATAGATATTAATCATTGTGTTGAATCTGCCAATTGTGTGAAAAAAAATGTAGGTGCTTATATAAAATCTAACTATAGGTAGGTAGGTTATTATCTACAACCATTCATTGAACAAAAACAATTTGTTCAATGCTAGAACAGTAGTGCTAAAATTTTTATAATTCAGAATGCACTTACCTTGCAAAATAAAAGTTTGATATGTTGCCTCGTCTACGTTAACGGAAATCCACTTCAAATTGTTGTTAAACTCGATTTTAACAAACATATTCACACACTATATGCAGAGTAATCAATAGGTAAGATAATTCTTTAATTGGTATAAGCATAAGAGTAAAAAATTCTGTAAGTGATTAACTCTCACGGCACGCTATTAATAATTGGACTGGCAACAAAATAACAAACCTGCCATAAATGCTTACGCTTGTCGTTGAATGCACTCCATGGTAAGTGAAATCTTATATGTATGGTGTTGTTGCACTCTGTTTTGAGAAATTTAACTCTTTGCGGTGCAAGCGCGATTTGCATGGTTGTGGTTTAATCTCAATAGTGCTGAACTACACTTCAATTTGGTTAAAATTAACTACACCTATTTTCATATGGAAATGGTGTAAAATTGAACACTATTTGTTGTAGAATTTCACACCAAATCATCACTAAACGTTGGTGTGTACGATCACACCGCAATATTTTTTACTGTGCAGGAAGTTTTAAAACCGATTTTTTTAAACAGAAATGCGATGTGCAAAGGATTAGAATTTATGGCTAGTCATTGTCAATTTAAAGAGCTTAAGCTTATGGCGTTTCCTGGTCCTTACTCCTTTTCTATGTAAATAGTCTGTATTGTACTAAATTATGCCAAGACAGTCCCAAGGCCAAAACTGAGTCATTGGGCCCAGGATTGCAAATATTTCAAGGAAAACCAGATTTGTAAAGGGCAGGTACCTACTTAACGCAATAAGTGTCAACTTATGAGATAGGCGAGAACAAATACCGCTCTTTACTCTTTAGAATTTTAGATTTACCGTTTCCGCCGAGTTCGAACGATTCTTAGTTCATATTTTTCTTAATTTTGGTGCATTTGTTGATTCATACGAAAATTCTCAGGGGGGGCGGTCGCCCCAATCGCCCCCCTTTGGATCCGCGCCTGTTTTATGGTCAATTAAAGGAAATTTGTACGAAACTTCTTCATTATAAAATGACCCTAGTTGTGTTTCCCACCATATTTAGATCGAAAGCGAAACGTAAGTGCAGTGGTTCGCCTGTAGATGGCGGAGAAACATGGCGGGTTCTCATTTGAATTTAAATACATGACCACGGTAGTGAATATACCGCTCTCGTTCGTTCATAAGGCAAAAAGAACCCGTGAGCGCGACGCTGTAGGTCAGGGTAAATGTAAAGATTTCGGGATCGTTTTCGTTTTTTCAGAACCGTTAATTCAGTAGTAGGAAGGGACGAACGGAGCAGTTTCTTACAGGGGGGAATGTTAAAATTTTCCAACTTTCGAAATTCAAATGCTAAAGAAACGCCACAACACGCAAAATCCAAGACTGAGACTGGGTCAAAATGGCATGGCTTTACTACCTATGATCACAGATTTATTATTCCTGTGCTATGATGTAGCAAGTCGGCATTGCTGCTTAATCCTTCATTCATTTCTCAGCGAGATAGGTATGCATTCAATGCGAAATCTAATAGTTCGCAATGAAAGCAATTAAATATGATATGACATCTCACTGCACGCGATATTATGAAAATAAACTTATGTTCCACAATTTACTTAGTAATTTAGTATGATATTTCCCAGTCCCAAGTCGGTTCCATATTAATTATGCCAAATACGATATGTGAGGGGATGCCTTACGGTTCGCCCCTGTCAGTAGGGATGGTGGGCGTCCCAAAAAAGCAAACGCCACATTTCTATCTAAAGTATTTTAAATCGGCGATCAGTAGACCAATTTTTTGTGTGTCTGAAATGACATTAACTTTTTGAAACAAAAATTTCATCTTTGGAGAAATAAGTTCAATTGAATAAATTTTTATGCATCCTTGCGTGAGTGGTAGACTTTGTGTTTACTCGTACTATCAAAATGGCAGAATATCAACTTTATAGAAATGAGTGCATAAAAAATTTCGCTGCCTCCTGGACTATAAAAGGTAGACAGTCAAAGAAATCGCATCACAATCAACACCCACACAAGGTCGGAGCTTGTGAATAACAGCAACACAATATGACAATACACAGTAGCCCTTTGTTCTAAAAATAACTGTGCTTTAGGATTTCGCAGGTTTATGGTACACATAGCTTAGCAAATTGTTTCTTGGCGTGCAATTTTTATTTCGTGCTTTTTTTCCTTTAAAAATAGTTCATTTTAGAAGTAGGGATGTAATTACAAACCAGTCTACTATTGAAAAGAATATATCGAATCCATTTTTCATCCAATTAATTATAACTTGTGTACCTACATAAATCAATATTTTATGCTAGATTTTATGTAGTAATCTACTCCAAAATTTTTAGATGCTCTAACATAAGTAGGTATCTACCATATTTTGAAAAACGCTTGCACTTCCTCTTGTTATAGTGCACTCAATTATAGTTTATAGCATTTTTAAAGGTGGTCTAACGATTTCTTCAAATTTTTTGGCATATTTTGCGTTGTCTTCTATAAATTTTTTTCACCTAAATCATAAAAACACAAATTCAGAATCCCGATTTTAAAGTACTGCGTGACGTCATGCACCAACTAGCATAATCTTGTTTTCTTTATTTATATCCTGACTAAAAGTACGTGCTTGTTGTAAAAATAGCGAAAGTCTCCGAAAGTTTCCGAAGGACGCGGCGAATTTTCGAGATAAAAACAAGATACTTAACAGTGCTTTCAGACAACATTAGCGCCATCTGCCGTTATCCTTCTGATTTTGAAATGGTAACAATATAAACTAAAGGCAATAAGCTCCCCCACCACTCTGGCAGCGCGCTCTTAAGCAACGTCGGGCGCGGTCCAGTGTGGCCATATTGGGCGCTTTATCGCAAATTGGGCGATTTTGAAATGTAGTTTGTGGTTAATTTATTGCTTAAACCACAAACCACATTTTGGGCGATAATGGATTTGATTTTCATCGCGTAACGTTATTGATACCTACACTTTTGACCTTGAAACTCAGTTTTAGTAGCGCGCAGCGCATGAATATTGTGGAATGTGAATATTTTGACTACAAAGTGTACAAACAGATACAATCATTTATTTATAGCTCCAGTCTCCAGTGCCGAGTCGAGTGCGCGACCGACAGCCGATACGCAAGTCGCAAGTTGCAATTTTTAAATTTTAAGTGTGGTGTGGTCGTGCCGGTCGTGGTGTAACGTGTTTAGCCTCTATTAACTGTGCCTATTTTTCATAATGGGTAAATGGGCAAAATATGTGAAACAACACCGAAAGGAATGGGAAGAAGAAAAACAATTCAAAGGTACCTAACCTACAAAGTTTTTTGTTGAATAAATATGACTTTAATACATTAGGTTGGCTAATAAGTAAAGATGATAAAAGTTATTGCAAATTATGCAATGCAGAATTACGATCGCATCGAGGTGACCTCATTAGACATGCTACAACGTCCAAACATAAATCAAACATGAGTAAAATAAACAACCACTGCAGTTTAAGAAACTTTGGTGAGTACTTACCATGATATTCAATACACACCTTAAATATCAAATTATTTATTAAGTAAATAATTATTAAATAACAATTAAATTAATATCTGAACTCTTTTCAGGTGTTGTAGTTTGTACCGATCAAATCAAACGGAAAGAGCTGATTTTAGCTAGTTTTATAGCTAATCATACATCAATAAGAAGTATAGATCACCTATCAGAAATATTGAACAAATTCTGTGAGCATCAGAATAAACCATCGTCTTCTGCGGCAAGCAATGTGGATACTCTTCACCTGCATAAAACAAAATGTGCTGCTTTAATTAGGAATGTTATAGCTCCCTCACTACTAAACGAGTTGGTGGAAGATTTATCCAATTCGCCCTTTTCAATAATAGTGGACGAATCAACCGATGTTAGCACAGATAAACTTCTTTGTATCAATATTAAGTATTATTCTGTGAAAAGCAATGCTATCAAGCTACAGTTCTTGACATTTGTAAGTGTTACAAAAACCACAGCAGAGGATTTGTACAATGCTGTTACAGATTACCTACTGGCAAATAAATTTCATTTGCAAAATTTGTTAGGTATCGGTACTGATGGTGCGAATAACATGTGTGGCGAGCATAATTCTCTTTATACTTTGTTAAAAAAAAATTTAAACTTAAATAATTTAGTCTTAGTCAAATGCATTTGTCACAGTCTACATTTATGCACATCAAAAGCCTCTGAAGTGTTTTCAGATGAAATAGATTTCTTACTTAGAGAAACCTACAGTTGGTTTAGGCACAGTGCACTTAGGCTAAGTAAATATAAAGAAATCTATAGTTTAATTAATCTAGACAGTAAGTTTACAAAGTTTGTACAACTTTCATCCACACGATGGTTATCAAGATACAAAGCTGTACAAAAAATATTATCTCAATATTTAGAACTTGAAACATTCTTTAACATTCATGCAGATAAAGAGCGGTGTCATACGGCAAAATTACTGAGTAATGCATACACCGATAAAAAGAATAAGGTTATATTGACGTTCATTCAACCTATATTAAAACAGATTTCATGTTTAAATGCTTATTTTCAAAAACAAGGTATAGATTATTATCTTGCGTTTCAAGAAATTAATGTCCTCATATGGACATTGGTCAGGCAAATTATAAAACCAACATTAATAACTCATTTCAAGGAAAACCTTGATCTCCTAAAAAATTCCATGCTTTTTGAGCAAAATTATTTACGATTAGAAAGTTGTGACTTTGGGCATGAATTTGAACAGGAACTGAAATCGTCCAATTTATCTTTAGAGACAGCAACAGAAATTCGAAGGAAAGCCAGGGATTTTATAAAGGAGTTAATACTAGAATTAATTAAAAGAATGCCATCTCATCTCAACATCTTTTCCCAAGTCAAAATGATTAGCCCTAAAGTAATTTTAAATCCCTTAAGACCAAAATATGTAGAATTACCATTGAAATTAGTCCCGAATATAAACATAAGCGATATGGAAGTGCAGTACAGACAATTGCTAAATGTGGAGTGGGATCAAGTGTTCCCCGAAAATATCCCTGAAGACACTGTAGAATTTTGGCAAAAAGTTATAACTTTAAAAAATGCCGCTGGCCAGTTGCTTTATAAAGATATTTCTTTGTTCGCTTTTGCCCTATTGACTTTACCTTCTTCAAACGCAGCAGTGGAAAGATCTTTTTCTATGATGACCATTGTCAAGTCTAAACTCAGAAATCAAATGATGCTCAATCTTTTAAATTCAATTGTATTTATTAGGGCATACTTTAACGTCAATTCCATTTGCTGCAAATCTTTTGAACCCACAAAAGATATGTTTTCCGCATTTAATTCAAAAATGTACCAGAATAATTCGGAAATAAGTGATGTAGACGATGACACAAATAACATTAATTATGTTGATGATGTAATACTGTTATGTAATGAAACATTGTAGTACCACCCTATTTTAAATAAATTAGGATTTATTTTCTCTTAATATTCTTAACCATTTACAGCATTAAATTTTGGCGCCATTATTATTAGGACTTGCGCCTTTGGGCGATTTCTAATGAAGGAGTGTGCGCGCCCACCATTAAAAATATGACAACACTGGCGCGGTCAGTACTTGGATGGGTGACCGCTTGGGAACACCGCGTGCCGTTGTCTCCTTTTTTTTCTAATTTTCGCTTCCTTTTGATACATATTTAGCGATACTACTTTTACACTTTGCGAAATTTAAAATTGTTTCGTCTTGTGCATTTTTCGGGACTTTTGTATTCCCTTTGCGATTTTAACGAACTCTCCTTTATTCATCGAAATATTTATTTACGTTCGATTAGAAAAGTGCTCAAAATTGGTAAATTTGCGACACGTTTGAATCCTTTGCGTGCATCTCTTTGTTCTTCTTCTGACGAATAATTTCTAGAATTATTTCCCTTAGATCACCATATTTCTCGACAACGGCCATACCACGTTGAAAACACCGGTTCTCGTCCGATCACCGAAGTTAAGCAACGTCGGGCGCGGTCAGTACTTGGATGGGTGACCGCTTGGGAACACCGCGTGCCGTTGTCTCCTTTTTTTTCTAATTTTCGCTTCCTTTTGATACATATTTAGCGATACTACTTTTACACTTTGCGAAATTTAAAATTGTTTCGTTTTGTGCATTTTTCGGGACGTTTGTATTCCCTTTGCGATTTTAACGAACTCTCCTTTATTCATCGAAATATTTATTTACGTTCGATTAGAAAAGTGCTCAAAATTGGTAAATTTGCGACACGTTTGAATCCTTTGCGTGCATCTCTTTGTTCTTCTTCTGACGAATAATTTCTATAATTATTTCCCTTAGATCACCATATTTCTCGACAACGGCCATACCACGTTGAAAACACCGGTTCTCGTCCGATCACCGAAGTTAAGCAACGTCGGGCGCGGTCAGTACTTGGATGGGTGACCGCTTGGGAACACCGCGTGCCGTTGTCTCCTTTTTTTTCTAATTTTCGCTTCCTTTTGATACATATTTAGCGATACTACTTTTACACTTTGCGAAATTGAAAATTGTTTCGTTTTGTGCATTTTTCGGGACGTTTGTATTCTCTTTGCGATTTTACCGAACTCTCCTTTATTCATCGAAATATTTATTTACGTTCGATTAGAAAAGTGCTCAAAATTGGTAAATTTGCGACACGTTTGAATCCTTTGCGTGCATCTCTTTGTTCTTCTTCTGACGAATAATTTCTAGAATTATTTCCCTTAGATCACCATATTTCTCGACAACGGCCATACCACGTTGAAAACACCGGTTCTCGTCCGATCACCGAAGTTAAGCAACGTCGGGCGCGGTCAGTACTTGGATGGGTGACCGCTTGGGAACACCGCGTGCCGTTGTCTCCTTTTTTTTCTAATTTTCGCTTCCTTTTGATACATATTTAGCGATACTACTTTTACACTTTGCGAAATTTAAAATTGTTTCGTTTTGTGCATTTTTCGGGACGTTTGTATTCCCTTTGCGATTTTAACGAACTCTCCTTTATTCATCGAAATATTTATTTACGTTCGATTAGAAAAGTGCTCAAAATTGGTAAATTTGCGACACGTTTGAATCCTTTGCGTGCATCTCTTTGTTCTTCTTCTGAGGAATAATTTCTAGAATTGTTTCCCTTAGATCACCATATTTCTCGACAACGGCCATACCACGTTGAAAACACCGCGTGCCGTTGTCTCCTTTTTTTTTCTAATTTTCGCTTCCTTTTGACACATATTTAGCGATACTACTTTTACACTTTGCGAAATTTAAAATTGTTTCGTTTTGTGCATTTTTCGGGACTTTTGTATTCCCTTTGCGATTTTAAGGAATTTTCCTTCATTCATCGAAATATTTATTTACGTTCGATTAGAAAAGTGCTCAAAATTGGTAAATTTGCGACACGTTTGAATCCTTTGCGTGCATCTCTTTGTTCTTCTTCTGACGAATAATTTCTGGAATTGTTTCCCTTAGATCACCATATTCCTCGACAACGGCCATACCACGTTGAAAACACCGGTTCTCGTCCAGTCCTACTTGAGGTTTTGACCGAGACGGTTGCTCTTACGATAAGTAAATACTTAGTAGGTATTTAAAATACAGCGAAAATTGTAGATCCCTTGTGGATTTAAACTTTACCTGCAGGGGACAACGACTTCTCCGTAACAGGGGGTCGTTTCGAACTGCAAATAAAACTGAATTTCAGACTGATAATAACAGTGATAAATCAAACTGTAAATACGTTGTTGTTAGTGGTAGTTATAGCGTACTAGAAATAGGTGAAAAAGACTATTAGTGATAAACTTGTAATACGGACAACGAAACGCACGTAAAACATATTTTAACCGAAAATGAATTGGTAATGCCCCAATTTCAAACAAATAAAGTGAGAAAACGACCGCTGTTGCAAGAGAGCACAAGCGGAACAATGAAAGTATCAAAGAAAACGACCGCAAGTCAACCACTTCCATTACACAACAGATATTCCCCGTTGGAGGATGACCAAAGTATAGCAGACATGCAAGAAGACTACATTAACGAAGAGACAAAGCCTACCAATAATGCAACTATAACCAATAAAAGGAAACTTCCACCACTGGTACTACGCGGTAAGCTCACTGAAAAATCAAAAGTAATTGGATATTTAAAAAAAACAGCGAAATCTGGCTTCGCTATAAAGTACACAAACGAAAACACAAATGTATTCGTAAATGAATTGACCGACTGGACAACAGTCAAAGAAGAATTAATTGCGAACAAGCAAGAATTCCACACCTACACAAACAAAGAAGACAAGACGCATGCTTTTGTGGTGCGAGGACTGGATCATGAACCAGAACCGGAAGCGATAATGCAAGAATTGGAGAGATTTGCTGATATATCCGCTACGAAATGTTATCGTATGAGCAAAACAAGAAGGCCCGCATACCTTCTGATCACAGATAGAAGCCAAACGCTTAAGAAAATATCTAAAATTAAAACAATCGATCACACCATCGTGACGTGGGAAAGATATCGGAATACGAAGAAAATTATACAATGTCACCGATGTCAGGAGTGGGGACACGCCACTTCAAACTGTTACGCAACACCCAGATGCCTAAAATGCTCCGCAAATCACCTAACTAAGGAGTGTGTGAAACCGATCACCACGCCAGCAAAATGTTGCAACTGTAGCCAACCTCATCCCGCGAATTACCCGGTATACATAAAGAAACTAGAACAACTAGCTAGTAAAAATACGAAACAAAGCACATAAACCAATAGAGCACCACAAATACAAGACCATAGAGAATTTCCCTATTTAATTCCCGCGCCAATTCCAACAAACAACCCATGGGACAAGAGAATCACCACATCGAAGCAATCAGAGGATGTGCATAACTCTCCACATGTGCAACCTTCACATATAACCCCCATCATGCAGACGACAGTACCATCTCACATACCGTTGCCCACAGCATACCCCAACGAATCGGACAAAAATCAATCAACCAACGAATTTACAGAATTAACCAACGAATTAAGGAAACTCAATTCACTAGTGAACGTAGGTGCTATGTTACGTGCAGTGAAAGACCTTAACAGTGAATTAACCAAGTGTAACAACTCTAGTGAAAAATTTCAAGTTTTCATAGAATTTTCTCAACATCTGAACGATTATGGGTTATAAATTAAATCTCTTAACTTGGAACGCCAATGGTTTAAAAGACAAAACCGACGCGATAGGCCCGGCGACACGGCCCAAGGGGGGGGTCGCGGTAATAATAAAAGCTACCATCCCGCATAAACAGGGTCGGCAAGCGAACACCTCAATCGGAACTTTGGAAATCGTCTTCGCGAATAGAGTACGTATCATAGCAGCATACAACTCACCACGGAACAATTTCACCAATAATGACCTCAACAACTTAATCGGTAATAATAAAAAAGTAGCTATCATAGGTGACTTAAACGCCAGACACACTTGCTGGAATTGTCACATAAACAACAAAAACGGAATAACTCTTTTTAACTATGTAAACAATAGCAACGTATTAGTACAGTACCCAGATTCACCTACCCATTACCCAGCAAATAATTCAACTCCTACAACAATAGACATTGTAGTTAACAAAAATGTAAACATAACAAACCCTGTTTCATTGTCAGAACTACATTCCGATCACAACCCCGTTATAATGACGGTCAACGCTCCCAAAGAAACGGCAGTTACGAAAATAGTTACGTCCTATAAAAACACAAACTGGGTAGAATTTCGTAAAACCTTAGATAAAAACGTGCAAATTACATCTAGAATTGATTCTACACAAAAAATTGATAATGCGGTTGACGCACTAACAAACATAATAAAAGATGCAATAAAAACCCATACTCGCACTAAAACAATAAATATAAACAAGGATCCTTTACCTGAAAACGTTGAACAATGCATAAGAAACAGAAATAATATTCGAAGACAATGGCAACGAACCGGAGACCAAATACTGCGAATGCAGTTGAACGAACTAAATAAATTAATAAAAAACGAGATTCGAGATCACAAAAACCGTAAATGGACTAATCTACTACAATCCCTATCCCACCGAGACAACTCCCTTTGGCAATTAACGAAGGCAATGAAAACTACAAAAACCATAATTCCCACCTTGCACCACAGAGACACGGACCACTTCATGAACAAGCAAAAGTGTAACCTGTTGGCGGATATCTTTGAGACTATTCACACTTTGGATGAAACAAATAATACAACCGAACAGCAATTAATTACGGACGAAGTTGAAAAGTACCTAAACGCAACACGCGAAGTAACAAACCCAACATTAGCAAAAATAATAGTCAGCCCGAAAAAGTAGTAGAAATCATAAAAGAACTTCCTAATCAAAAATCACCCGGACCTGATGGCATAACAAACAAAGCATTAAAAAACCTAAGCCGTAAGGCCATTGTGCAACTAACATATATTATAAACGCTATAAAAAAGTACAGCTACTTCCCCGCGAAATGGAAACACGCAACAATTGTTCCCATCCCGAAGCCGCATAAAAGTCCTCATAAC